GTGGCTAGCGATGGAGCACAGTAAGCTGGGACCTCTCATGTCCCTGGTCCCTGATGACAAAGGTGGCTGCAATGGGGCCCACCCCCAGGAGGGATGGAGGTTTCTTGGGGGGAAGCATCAGAGTCCAAACCTCAGTATTTAATATCCCGTCTCCATCCGCGTCATCATCGCATGCATCGCCAATGCCATCCCTGTCTGCATCCTCCTGGCCAGAGTTGGGGACAGTCAGGCAGTTGTCCTGCAGGAGACATAGCTGTTAGGTCCCAGGACCTGCTAGTGTTTTGACCACACCCTCCACCCACATGGTGCTTGACAAGGCAGGAGCCATCCCTTGGGCCCTTTCAGGCCAACAGCAGAGGACCTGGGAGGGGTGGGGGTGTCCTTGTGGCCAGGACCATTTTAGCCAGCTGGGGACCTGGTACCCAAGGTGTGTGCAAGAGGACATGACCTGTCTGATCAGCCTCTGTGCCAGGCTTATGCTCCACACTGCCCCGTTTTGCTGACACTGCCCAGTTCCTTGCTGAGCAGGTCAAGGTGGTGTCCTACCTTGCGACACTTGCGGTCTGTGCAGCGCAGCTTCTCATCAGGGAACCCATCAATGTCGGTGTCCTTCCCGCAGACGTAGCCATTCCCTGCCCACCCTACAGTGCACTGCAAGACAGCAGAGCCAGGGAATGAGGCTGTGGCAAGCCCTGGATTGGCCACCTCCTGCTCTGCTGAACATGTGCCTCCATGCTGCAGGACTGTATGCAATGAACTCTGTTCTCCGGCTCTGCAGTCTATCGGCAAAACATCCCCTTGAAGGCACAATTACACTGCCACAAGGCATTAGTTCAGATCTGTGCTCTTGGCGGGAGCCTGAGGTGTAACTGAGAAATACAGCAGCAAAGGCCTTCCCCTGTCATAATGCATACATAATGCCTAATGCAGGGTGCCAGACTGTAGCTCCCATTTGAACATGGATCATGCCTCCTTTCAATGCCTCTGTAACTCTGCAGAGCTAGAGAAGCACACAGCTCAGAGTATGCACTCAGGCTCAGGAAGGCAACCTGCCACCCTCTGCTCCATGGGCAGCTAGCCACGGCGTAGAGCATTAAAGAGGAAAGAACTGGCACAGAGCAGTGGTTCTCAAGCTTTTGGGGTCATGTGCCCCTTTCTTGTGTTCTCCTCTGCGTACCCCTCTAATTCAGTGTTACAGAGAACAAAGAGTCACATTTTGTCACTGGAAACTCATGGTAACATTGCCAACAAGCCAAAACAGATGGAGGAGTTGTTCCTTTCTTCTCCATTTCTAGTTCCCCTTCCCCTTCCGGTAGAAGTCTGCTGCACACCCCTGGGGATCACATGCTTAGGTTTGAGAGACTGGTACAGCCCTGAGTGACACATGATGACCAGAAGGGGGCAGTGACAGATGTGAGCCAAGGGATTCTTGGAACTGGTTTGAGGCTAAAAAGTCAAAACTGACCCTGCTGTGTGAACCAAGGGAGGTCTGGGTCTTACCACACAAGAGATGCTCCCATCGCGCTCAACGATGCACTCAGCCTTCTCATGGCATGGGCTGAGTTCCCCGTTAGGACAACGTCTCTGTGTCTGGTTTCTGCACCCGGTGACTTGGTCCCCGATGAAGCCAGGCTTACAAGCTCCACACTTGTAGGATCCCTACAAGAAGAGCAGCAAGCAGAAGCTATCACATGGGTACAGGGAAAGCGGTGTCTGAACCCCTCAAGCAGCTGGTATCTGCTGTGCCCCAGCTGTGAGACAGCTACTTCCAGGTGCTGGGGTGTCAGGCCCAGGCTAAGCCAGCTGGCAGTACTCACCCGGGTATTGATGCAGATGGAGTTGGGGACGCAGGTGGTGGTGCCAGGCGTCTCACACTCATTGATGTCAGTGCAAACCTGTGCAGCAAGGAGGAAGTGGGAGGGGTATAGAACAGATATATACAGTGAATCACAGTCCTGCTTAACACCCCCCATGGCCCATGCAGCTTAGCATCCCCCTCTGGCTGAGCCCCAGAAGGACCTGATGCTGCTGCTTCATGATCCCCTCTGGGGGTCAATCCCTTGAGGAGTCCCCCAGGCTATGGGAAGTGTTGAAGGATGTCTGCCACTGCAGCTCTCCAGCCAGGCAGCAGTTTTATTTAAAGGTGGCTTGTTGGGGCAGTCTCACGACAAGACACATCAGTCACTCGAGGAGGAAAAGGCAGAGGATGCTTCCCTTGAGCCAGCTGATGGCTCTCAGCCTCCTGCTGTGCCCTCATGTCCTCTGTACATGCCTTATACATCCCAACAGGGCTGGTTGGGATGCCAGGCACTAGGCATCCCACTGCCCCCCCACTGCACAGCACTAGTGCTGGGGTCCCTGGGCTGGGCTTCCTGCCAGGGGTACGAGTGCTCACTGTCTGGCCCTTGGTTCTGCCAAGTCAGGCAGGGAGCAGGCAAGTCTCACTGCTGAGCAGCAGGAATGAGTCACTGTGCACACCTTGGGCAAGGCATTGCTTTCTGTGCTTCGGTGTCCTCAGCTCTAGAAAGGCATGGACAATTCACCTCCACCTCAGGGCTTTGAGAAACTGAACTGACATTTGCATGGGGCTTAAGACCACTGGGTGACAGTGCAAAAGGTTAATGGTTACCACTGGAGTAGTTTTGCTGGGAGTTACCTGTCTGTTGGCTCTGGCAAAGGGTAGTCCAACCCCTTCCACAGGTTGCCCAGAGTAGCCAGAAGGGCAGGGGTCACAACGGTAGCCAGGTGCTGTGTTGGTGCAGCGGACTTTGGTGAAGCAGGGATTGACAGAGCACTGTGAGAAGGAAGGAGAGCTGCTGAATCACTCAACTCAGCTGCATGCCAGTTGCTCCCCAGGTAGAATGTGAAGGGGCAGGGCAAGAAGAGTAAACCCCACTGGTCAGAGGGACTAGAAACTCTAAATTTATTTGTGAGGGGAGAGCACAGCTGCCTTAGGCTGCACACAGGTGCCAACAAAAAAGCAAACTGCCTTTTGAGTCTCCCATTTGGTTTCCCCTAAGGCACCATCTGTTACCTGAAATCCTGCTGCTTGGCAGTGTCACTGAAGCCAAAGTGCCAGACCTTCTGGTGCACTGCCCTTGGCTCTCACCCCCCAGCAGTTCACTTGCCATACAGAGAGGTCCCTGCCCTTCCCACAGGAGTGTGCAAGGACTCCAGTCCCAAAGGTTAAGCAAAGAGTATCATTTCCCTCACTGTCATGTCAATCATGTTCTCATGCACAGACTACAGCAGCATTATACCCCAGCGACATGCAGGAACCTCAACGACCGAACATTTCCCCTGGAAAAATGCAGCCATGGAGAGAACAAGCCTGTGCTAACTTAACCCCTCACTCCTGAAGGCTAACTGAGAGTGCTGCCTACTAGAGGCTGCATAGAGATGATGGAAACCTTGGGCTCCTTTTAAGCATCCAGAGGGGGCCAGCAATGACGGCTTCACTGCATGAAGGGTACACAGATTCAAGCCCTACCTACAAGGCAATTTTTATTCCATTCATTCCCTAGATGTTAAGATAGGAAGGGACTGTTGGTTCTCCAGTCTCAGCTCCAGCACAGATCATGCCAGAGGCCCTCACCCAACACCACCTGCATCAAACCTAGAGCTTCTGTTTGACTGTAAGAATCTCTTGCAGAAAAAGATGCCCAGTCTTCACTTAGAACCCCCCCGCCATGGAGGAAACAGGGGGTTAGATACAGGTCCCACTCCACTTGCACCATGGGGACTCTGGCTTGTTTCATGACACTGGGACCCTCCATTACAGTGCTCCATAGAGGAGTTAGCTCCACCCTTTTGTAGCTCCCAGTTGGTCACCACAGGGGGTCTGTACCTCATTGATGTCTGTGCAATGTGTCCCATTGCCTGTATATCCTGGAGGGCAGCCTCCACAGCGGAAGCCAGGTTCGGTGCTGGTCTGGGTACAGGTAACGCCAGGGAAACAAGGGTTTGGCGTGCATCTGTTGAATGCTGTCACGCTGATCCCTGGGCCAGTCACCTCTGTGTGCATGCCTGGGGAGCACAGGCACGTTAGAACAGCTCTTGGCATACTTACCCTTCTTCAGTCCCATCTAGTTAGGGGGCAGGGCAGGGGGGCTTCAAAGTGCTTCACAAATAATGAACTGCCTCTACAACCCTCTGGGAGGCTGAGAGGTGACATCCCCACATAACAGCAGCTTGACAGAGGCCCAAGAGCAATGGCAAGAGTGGAAAATACAACCAGGAGTCCTAACATCTCACCTAGTGCCCTTAATCACATCACTGTCCCCAGTAGCCTATCAGCCCGTATTTATCCCAGCAGCAAGAAGCAAATGGATAAACTCATATAGGGCCATAAAACCTCCAGAACCAGCCTTGGTGAAGGGCTCAAATACTGCTAAATTAGGGCCTATCCGGCAGCTTAAAGGTTAGCCCACGAGAGCCATGACCCATTCTGTGTTGCAGAGCAGGTGTAGAGCTGTAGCACTGGTGTACAGCCCTCTCTTTGGTGCTCTGGAAGCCCTGAGAATACCCCAGGAATGCAAAATAATCCCTCTCTCCCCCATGTGAAAAAGAGCTGTGCAGAGAGAAGCTTTCAGGAGCTCCCAGCCTCTGCAAAAGAAGGTACATGCCCTCAATTAGCTGTGTCACTTCATAGCTTAGAAGACCTCTTGGATTTCTTGACGACTTAGGGAGACTGGATCACCTTTGTTTGGCTGGAAGACCTCACTGCAGGCTGGCAGACTAGGGCCTGCTTCAGCCACTCACAGCCTCATCACTTCTCAGCGGCAATAGAGGAGTGTGAAATACCTGGGCACAGGGCCTTCAGTGCTCCAGGAAATTCCAAGTAGTGCAGAATCTGCCCAAGCTGCTGCAAGTACATGAAACCTGTCCTTTGTGCTCAGCACTGATCCCCCAGGGAATTTCCAATCAAGTTCAAGGTCTGGGTCCTTGGAGATGCTCCATGGCCTGAGCCAGAACACCTAGTAGAGCCTGACGCTGCAGGCTGAAGTGTGTCATGAACAGCTGTGCTCCTCTGGCACTACAGAACTTTCCAAGAAGGGTAAAGCTAGTTTGTGCGGAAGAGGGGCCTCTTCTGGAGGTGGGCCAAGGACTGTGCAATTAACCCCCTCAAGAACATGGGGCCACAGCAAGACTCCCTGGTGCAAGTGCCAGGCAGGCTCCTCCAGCTTTGGTTTCCCCCATATCAATGCCTAATGCATATGTTAAATAGGTAACTGAAGCCCCTCCACAACAAGACACTCCACTGCTCACGTATTTCCCCAGGAAGAGGATGAAAAAACAAACAACACATGACAGATGTTAGTCACATTGCTCCATGCACCAATGAAACAGGCTCTGATGCAATGGTGATGAGTGTGGTATAAGAACCTCCATAAAACAGAACAACAAGTGGAGAAGGCAGAGATCAAGTGAGAGAGAGAGAGAGTTCAAGACAGTTTTACGAGCAAGTTATTAAAACAATTGCTGTGGGTGACTGCAATTCTGTTCTGCAGATCCCAGAGGCTTTGGCTAATTGCTTTTCCAGCAGACAAACAACCTCTCCAAATGTGGAAACAGTTACTGCTCTATCCTTTGGATGTGCCGGCAAACAACACAGCATCTCCAGGAGCCATGCAGTCTTATGCCAGATATACCAGAAGTGAGTCTCAGCCCACAGCACGAGTTACCAGACAGCAGAGGATGCAACTGTTAGGTGAAATGTGATGGCACTCTTTCCTGAATCCCCTGCAATTAGTCCCCTGGTTTGGGTGGTGGTAGGTGGACCATGTAGGAACTGGCAGAGCATGCCTCTTGGGGGTGATATTCCATTTCATTCACAGCTCAAGAGCAGCCAACACCAACCAGCCAGACACACCCAGCCATGCATTCCTGGGCGATTCTAACACATGCCTTGGTTGTTAGCAGACTTGTGGCTGGGCAGCTTTCCGCACCTGAAAATGTAAAGATCCCCTGGGAAACTGGAGCGTGGCACGGCCTCAGGCTGTTACAAAATGGAGTTTATGAACAGCCGAGCAACCTAATAACTGGACTTTGGTTGCTGGTTAAGCAACCAAATAGCTCCCCAACAAAATAGGGGAAGAGGGGGAGGAGAGAGGGAAGGAGAGTTCAAGGTAGAATAGACCTGGGCAACATGGACCTAGAAGACTACTCTGTTTTGGGGCCTGACCTCACGACATGTCACTGGGTTTGCCTCTGGTGAGATTTTCACACAAAAGGCTGTGTGGATACTTATGTCTTTCTACAGGCAACCCTTTATCTTATGTTAGAGAGGAACGTGTTTGACCTAACCCAAAGTAAGACTGTCTGCACATAGTTTTACACCAGTTTAATCAAACCAGTGTAAATTTGTGTAGACAAGACCAGTTCTTCAGAGAGAATGAAGCTTAAGTAAGTGAGTGGTTCTCACCCTCATCCTACCCCCCTCACATAAATGATCTGACTTCAATTACTAAAGAGCCAACAGGCTAGGACGGACCTGAGCTAGCAGCCTGAACACAGATCTGGAATCCAGAAACTCCCATGTGCTGGCCTTGACATGAACACTGGCTCACTGCAGGACCTTAGGAAGCCGTTACTTTGCATGTTTTACCCACCCATAATAGCAATAAGAGTCTTGGCTGCTTCCTGGGCTGTAGGAATGAACTGGAAAGACCTACAAACATTTGAAGTGTGTTAAGAGCAGCAATACCAAAACCAAAGATTACCCTATGACCCTTCTAGTGAATGTGGTGCAAGCCAACTTGATGAGGACTGCAGAACATGGTGTTTTACTGTCAAGTCCAACAAATGTGCAAGACAGGAAGTGTACAGTCAGACATGAGGCATTTAAACGTGCAATACTCACCACAGGCATCACACTCCATGACCGTGTTCTTCAGGAATGTTATCTCCTTGATCTAGAAGGGAACAGGAATCAATATTTAGCTGGATACCGAGTGTGGCTCCCACCTAAGCTAACACAAGCTAGAAGTGAACGGTACATTAGGTACAACTCTAGGTTCTGTGCACAATGCATATTTTATCTGGCCCCATCCAGACTAGAAAGCTAGCTTGCACTTGGAAACACCATTGGCCAGTATGTTTTCCAGATGTGACTTTGCACTTAGTGCTGGCAGGTTTAACACTTTTGAAGCATCTTATCTGGTCATGGGGAATCTGCTACACAAACCAAACTGGCTGGCTAGGTCATTTCAGCTCTGATTTCTGTTGTTCTACAGGCAGCAGATGTGCCAGGGAAGGACTGGAAATCCACAGCCCTGCTCAGGAACAATTACCTTGCTGCCCTTCAGCACCCTGCACACCTCATGTTCTCTTCACTGGTAGTTCATTTTGTGGGGCACCTACACAGAATCATCTGTCTATGCTTCCTCCACGACTCCCAGGTACCAAGGCAGGTTCTAATTTTATAGTAAACGCTTCCTCCATTCATTGTTTACCTGAGGTCAGACGAAATTTAGTTTAATGTGTGTTAAATAACTTAAGCTAACCCAGACACAGATCTAAAGCGAAGTCCCTATTCTAAAATATCACAAGCTTGGGGGAGGGAATGGAGGAAGTTTGGGTCATGAATGGAACACAGCTAATCAGCCCCATCTCTAGTTCATCTGCAAATTGCCTTATGCCGTCGATTCATGGGCCTGAAATGGCCAGTTTTTACTACTCTCATTGCCGCCCTTCACTGCCAACCTCTGCAAAGCTGGATCATGGAAAATTAAGCTACAAAAATCTTTGTGCGTGTTAAAGAAATTAAGGGCACATCTGCACAAGCTTCCACCTTGGCTCTCCAAGCATGTACATGACTCCACCAGCTGGGAGGGTCTTTTTAAAAGACTAGACACTGTTTGAGAAAGAAACCAGGGCAAAAAAGTGGGGAACAAGGAATGAGAGAACAAATAGGAAAACCTGCCCAGAGAGGCAGTGCTAAGCTGGAAGGGGATGCTGGAAAGCATCACCCCAGGCTGCCAGGAACTGTGTCTAACCTGATTCCTAGTAAATACTGGGTATTTATGTAGAAACCTGAAATGTGAAAGTAACTTAATGCAACAGATGGTTTTGCAGATCAGAGGCTGCCCAGTTTGCACTGGCACAGAGGCCTGGCTGCCATTCCTGTATCTGGCAGGCAGAGCCTGCTGCCCTCAGTGCACAGCCTGGAGAGAGGGAGAATGGAACTTCTATGTAGTCAGAAAAGAGCTGACCAGACAAACCATGACCAACTCATTAAAATGGGGACAGATCTGAACTCCCCAAAGTTCTCATCTCCCTCAAACTGCTGGAGGCAGAGAGGTTTAGGATTAAAGCAACAGGAGAAGACAGGGCAGTAAATACAGGGCTTGTGTAGGTCCTATAGGACTTCTGTATTTAGGACACTACTACGGGTCTTGAAAGAGCTCCCATCTCTTCCAAGCCTGGCCTGTTTGCTCATTGCACAAGCCTACAAAACCAAGGAAAAAGTGACTTGGTTGTTCCACTCACACATGCCCAGCTGTGTACGTATCTACTTGAATAAAAGAGTCGCTCTCCAATTCAGTTAATTTTCAAAAGACGTGGGCGCAGGCAGCAGAGCACGTGCCTGTATCAGCCCACACACATGGCAGGGGTGCTCAGTAGTGGGGCCAGCAGCATATCCTGCTTCTCCCCAAGTGGCTAAACCACTTTACCCCAACCAAGAAGAATGCATCCTACTCAACTGGCCAACATGCCAGGCAGGACCCCCTCGGTCCCTCTAGCACAGTGTGTAAGGCCTTTCTTACTTACCTGCTGCTTCAGCAAGTCTCTGACTTCCAGCAGCACCCTGTTCGTCTCTCTCATCTCAGCCAGCATCTGGGGCCCAACATCGCCTCCTACAGAAACCACAAGTGTCAGGACCTGCAGATAACGCTGCTAGTCATGTTCTACTCAACTATTGCTTGGCTTGTATATTCTGGGTTCTTACCACTTTGCCCTTTCTGAGCATTGCCAAATACCCCATTGAACAGCCCTCCCCAGGCCCAGGCTCAAAGGAAAATCCATTCCTGTTGGACAGCACAGAGCCAGGACCAGAGGGCAGCAACATTAACAGAAAATGTGTGTTTTTTTAAATCAAAAGAGAACCATTGAATTGGATCACAAGAGCTCAGTGTCAGGGGAGCCTGATGCCCGAACTGTTTCCTGGGCCCATCCCAAAACAAAATGAATGATGGTCTAAGGTGGGTGAATGGCAGGAGCAGCATTCTTGGTAACCAACCAAACCCCAGTGCACAAGGTAACACTTATCCCCAAGCAAACACGTGGGTTAGCCTGACAATCTAGTGGTTAGGAGAGCCACCGATGTGGCAGTTTAGTGCCGTTTGGGCACTGCAGGGCTTTCCGGCCAGGAGGAGAGAGGCAAATTTACAGCTTGAGGCAGTGGAGGCTTATGTGAAAGAGTAGCACAGAAAGCTCATTAAACAGGCTGTTGGGGGGTTGCTGCCAGGCACAGAAAGCAGGGCTGCTGCATGTGGGCACTGCCAACCCTGCCCCTGAGTGACAGTTGCCTCTTTACCTGCTTCTGTCACACAGGGAGTTTTGCTTTCTCCCTGTCACACAGCAGCAGCTTCCACTGGAATAGAAAACTGCCTTGCAGTGATTTTTGGAATGCAAATAGATATGTGCCCACCCACAAAGAGGCAGTGTCTGCAGGCTGCAACTCAAAGGAGAGTGAACAGAGCTGTGCAAAATGTCTCCTAGGTCATCACCAGCATCAAAAGGAAATCTAGAGCATGCGCTTCCGTCTGAGAGTACAACCCTCAAGACCAACTGCCTGGGGAAAATACCATATGATTTAGGATATGGCCCAATCGTTCACGCCTTGTCACCTACAGGTGACAACCTAGGGGCCATCCTGCACCATTACACTCAAAGAACTTGAAACTAATAGGGAACATGACTGGCTGCCTGTTGAGCACAGCTTGCCAGCAACCTGCATGGGCTCCCACTTTGTTTGGGGATGAAATTCAAGGCAACTGTTTTGATCTATAAATCCCTGAGTACTTTGGGCCCTGTCAGCCTCAGAGACAGCACTTCCAGAGCAGGTGTAATCTTCCAGTTCTCTCAAGTAAATACAATCAGGGCAACAAATGGCAAGACATTCTCAGCCACAGATCCCTAGGCCAGCATTTCATACATTCTCCCTTCTCCCTCCCGTCTCCCTCCTCCACTTCCCAGCCTCTACTCTCTTCTGTTAGACCTTGGACTTGAGCATCTTTGAAGGCAGGCTGCAAACCTCATGCATCTTCCTGGGCTTTCCTATGGGAGAAAGGGCGGACAGATGGGGGGCTCTAGAGCTAGGCTTAAATCCTGTTGTAAAAATATGAACGGCACACTTATATATAACAAAGTAAGAGCCCAAGATGGATGGAACAAGCTGCAATCTGCAATGGTCCCCCTATGCCAAGTGGGAAAGCAGCACACTTATTCTTCTCCACAGTCTTTCCAGAGCATTTCTAAAGGAGCTGTTCTCTTTGGTATCTTGGGGTATTGTCTACTGTGGGATCCAAGGATGTCTGGAGCTTGTGTGTTTGTTGCCCAGTACTGCTCAGTGTGGGTTGCAAAATGTATCTTGGGTGGTTAGTCTGAACAAAACTCCACACAGCAGCAAGCCATCCAGCCAGCAGTACTGAAGCCAACATATTTAACGCTAACTGGGGCACGTCTATGTGAGCTGCAGTTGCTTGTGGCTGCAGTGGAGATGCAGCCGTAGAAAGAATGCAGTAGGTGTATCTCCCTTCCACATGCAGTTCTGTGCAATTGGTCAGGGGCACTACTGCTGGAAGGAGCCATCTTCCTCTGAAGCACAATGTCAATACCAGAGACAGGATGTCAGATAGGTGAGGATGGGGGTGAGGGAAGCAGCTGTGTTCCTCTGTACAGCATGTTGCCCCTGAACCTGAAAGTCTGGAGGGCTTGCTCTATAATTACCTTGAAGTCTGGCTGGATATATGTAACCTCTCCAGCACATCTTGGTTTGGAAAATATCACAAAACCATCTTACTAAGACCCATATACCCGATGAAAGTCACTTTTCTCATCTGACTGAGAATAGGCAGGGAGAGGGTCAAGTCATTACTAAGTTTGAAGAAAATGTTCCATGCAAGCTCTGCATCACTGTTCCAGTCAGCTTCTGCTGGACCCAAGCAGGTTCATCTGTCCCTGCTAACAAGATGCTGTTTCTCAAAGGAGAATGTTTTAATGTACAAATTCACACAAAAGGGGCTGTGTTCCCACATGCAGCTTCCCCAGGCTGCCACTGCTTATTTTGCTATTCGTATTCCTGGGCTCTCTCAAGTACAGCACACCCAGTCTGCTATTTGGAACTTGGCTTTTGGGTCTGGCTCTGCTGGATGTGCGAATCACAGTCTCCCAGATCTGAACAACGGAGGGAACAACCTCCTGCTCAAGAAGTGGACCAGTGCAATGGATCCCAGAAAGAGCTGAGTTCCTAGAAGATAGAGCACACAGGGAAAGCTTGTGTGCACAGAGCATGCAGAAATTTGCAGGTAGCTGCCACACAGCATCCTGGATCAGCTGAGTCTTTCATCTAATCACGCAAAACAAAGATTACTTGCCAGGGACACCTTCTGTTACCTTTACATACATAATTGCATAACAACAACACGTATTTGGTTCTGTTCATATGCCAGAGGAAAAGGTTTAATTTGCAAAACTTCCCCGGTCCAGGAGAAGGAATATAGTCCAGCACCAAAACGTTTACACTGTTGGGCAGAAGAAAACTGCAGTCAAAACACAGATTTCAAGCAGCAGCAGAAGCAGCTGACTTGTCACCTTTCTCCTCTCTTCTAGGCAGCAAAATGGGGTTTGCAGAAAGGTCTGAGAACATAAAGGTAATTAAAGCTTACTTACCTCCAACACTTGTCATCTGACTTGATGTAAAAGAACAGAGGCTCAGGAGGAAAGCGAAGGCTAGAGTCGCAATCATGTTGGAATCTCTGCGCGGCATGGACGTGTGGGCTTCTGCACAGTCTGTTAACCTGCAGGTCTGCCTCTGCTCCCCATTAGTGGCTGTGGTTTGCTATTTATGAAGCCGCATTCCTTCTTCTGAAGTTCTTATTCTCTGATGCTGGACTAGGGTGGACGTCATTTCTGGCAGCTAGTCTGCAGAGAAAGCTACAAAAGTAAACAATATGAGAAAATCATCAAGAGAGTGGCTTAGGACTTCTTAAAAAAAATAAAAAACAGCCTGTACCAAGAAGGTCAGAAAATTCCAGAATTACATAGCTTCTACTTTGGATTGGTGTTTTTTGGAAAGGCAGGAAAAAGGGAAGTGGGTTTTACCGCTCTATCCCTAACAGCATTTGTAGCATCACTACCTGGAATATATGAACTTCTCAAGTGTCCAGGTTCTGCTACAGCTTCAGCAAAGGCCCCTTTGGACACCCAAAGGCCTTTCTATCACCTGAGCTCAGAGGCTATATTGCCATATTACTTCCAGCCATTACAGGTTGAAAACATCACCACTTTCTCCCATTTAGGGCCAATGGAAGTGCCTGGTTCTTCTTGTGTAAGGGGGCTGAGCAGCAGCAGACTCCCTGAGGGACTGTGCAGAGACCAAGGTTGATGCTCACCCCAGGCCCCCACTGGAAAACAGTGTCCAGGCTGTACAAACCAAACCAACATAAGCAGTGCCAGCTGGGCCCCTGGTTAGTCATCTTAGGAGAGAAACTAGTGCCTGGACAGGCCATGGAGACTATATGCTCCTACCTGATTCCTGTAGAGGGGTCCTCCAGGGCAAGGCTGCAACACAAGAGCTTGCTTCGCTGCTGCTTCTCTGTGGGTAATGGGCCCTCCATTCTGCATCCTCCATCAGTGCCACATTCACAACAATTCAAGACTCCACTTGAGAAGGCAGATGTAGGATAAATCATCTGCAGAGTGGCTGAGACAAGGGCCTCTCTGAGCCATCAGGATGAGAAGGCATGGATAAAACTGATATGCATATAAGAGTCACCCGAGTGATGAAAGGTTGGCTAACTCACCATCTGGGCATTCTCAGTGCCTGGCTGTGACAGCTGACTTATTGCAGTTGCATTCTGGAAGCTTTGTGATCATGCTGTGCTCTCGGGGGTGCCGTGAACAGGAAAGCTTGGGGGAACATGACATTGTGGTGCCCTATAGCCGCAGGACCTCTGAATGCTGATCCAAAACTTTTAGGATTCTCTCCTGAGTGCTGGGGACATCTGAAGACAAAACTAGCACATACCTACGTACTGCAGGGAGGGAGAGGAGAGGAAGTGGGGAGATGAGCAGCATTGTACGCGCTGGTGAAGGTGCACATGTGAGCTCAGGGAAGTTGGAGCCCAAACATGGTTGCTTTGATGTTCTGTAAATGCCAGAACAAAGATTTTGTTTCTGTTGAGACAGCCCAGGCTTGTACTGAAACTACTAGAGTTTGCAGCTGTTGAGTGGTCTCGATATGACTCTCTGCTTGTCTGAAACACAAGAGTCGGCTACTGCCAACTGGCACCGGCTATGGCCAGGTCAGGAACCCACCAGAGAATCAACTACACCAGCTTTATGAGTGATAAGAAAAGGGGCTCAGTTTGGGCTCAGCACAACTACAGAGTCCTAGCCATGTTGAAAATGTCAGCATTTCTAGGTCCTTTTTGACAAATCAAAGCAAGACCACAATGACTTCTCTCACAGTGACCCCCTCACCCCACTCCAGATGGCTGCTCAGTGTATAGCCAGGCCTGGTTGATGCTACCTACTTTCTTTTTCAATTATACTTCAAGTAGGAGCTGGTGAAAGACACTGGACTCTAGAGACACTGAGCGCTAGAGACAGAGCCCATTATCCCAAGGACGTGAATAGCTAACACCTCTCCATCCCTCCATAAGAAGACATCTCCCAGAGGGGAGTTCACTCTCTGTGAACTATTCAGTCCATGGCCTCTGCTAGATGGCCAAGAAGGGAACTTATTAGTGCCAGTTGTGGAGGAGATGGATTTTCATGGGAAGCACATTACTTCAACAGAAGCCTGATGGCTCATTAGGCCCCGGCCAGTGCCAACTCTCTAAAAAAAAGCTGTTTGTTTCAAGGGAATGGAAGTCATAAAACTCCAGAAAAGGAGACGTAACCCACATGGAATGAGGAGTGCACACAAGGGTCCCTTGTGAGGTCACCCCAGCAGTAACTCACATCAGAGGTTTCTCTTAGTGTGGAGAAGTATATAAAAGTCTGTATCTCTCTGCACAGACCAGCCAATCAAAATCTCAGTGCTATGAAATAAAAAACTAGAAATGTTCAATCCAAAGGAAATAAACTGGCTCTGTGCAGTCCAAGCGAGGTGTTACTGCATATCAGGACACCAAAAAAAAAAAAAAAAAAAAAAAAAAAAAAAAAAAAAAGGTCAGACACCTCATAAAGGGGGATGTTTGGAAACCATGTCACACACTGTTCTGCTCAAACTCCTCTGCAAACCCAGGTGCAAGAGACAACTAGGACACGTGCCATCCTCCAAACAGAAAGAAAGAAAAAGTGCAAGAAAGAGGGCCAAATGGTGAAACCGGGTCGGACACCATGAGAGTTAGCTCTCAAGGTTACTGAGAGCTTTATTTTTCTGCCCTGTTAGTTCTGCACAACCAGACACTTTTGTTACTAAGATTTCAGTCTGAAAGAGAAATGTCTCCAATTTCCCCATGTCCCCTTTCTGAACCAAACACTTGCAGGACCATGACTAATGAAACTATCAGTGGAACTTGGAGACCTTGTTAATTAGATCCCAGAGCTGAACATTCCATTTCTAAGCAGTGTGGTAGATCAGTTAGCAAACCACTTAATGCATTCGGGTGGTGGAGAGAGGAATTACTATAGCTACTTTTGTTACCTGCTGAAGTACAGAAAGCCAGACTAACACTGAATCAGACTAGCTAGGCAGCTCTGACAGCTTAAAGCACTTTTTCACTATCCACTTAGCCTAGTGCTTCCTGACCTTTTTAGACTGCAGGCACCCCTCAGAAAGTGCCAAAACTTAGTTTTCACCTCTTTTTTGACTATATAAAAATAATAGAGCAATTCTTCTGTTGCAAAGAACTCAGAAAGACCATGACATGTAAGAACATTTTTGACATAATGACTTCCTATTTGAAATCTCTGGGTTTATTTTGTGAATCGTGTTTGCACACCTAACAGTGCTAACATTGCATGGTACCCCACAGCACCTTTGAAAGGATCTCAAGGCACCTTGGCTGGGAATCACTGGCTTGCCCCACTGCCATTGAGTTAAGAGTTAAGCTCTAAGGACTGAAGGGAAGGGCAGTTTCCATTCACTTGGCCTCTACACTAAAAGTGCTAACAGCAATGCCTCTGGGTGTGAGACTTGGGAACCTGTATGTTCAGAGCTAGAACAAGCCCCTGATACAAGAGATGGGCATGTTAGAAACAGAACCCCATGCATATCACTTGCCCTGTTTCTATCACATGCAATAACTTTCAGTTCCCCTCAACCTTGTCTAGCTTGGAAATGGAAGCCTCAAAAGGAAAAACAATGCAGCAACACCAATGGCTCAGGGGCCACTTCTCAAACACACATGTACATCACAACCTCCAGTTCATTCTGCAAGAATAAAGCCTGAAGCCTGCCCCACTCTCTGCAGAGAGAAGTCTCAAGCTGCTCTCTGAACTCAGGAAAGCTCAAGGACACCGAGTTCACCCCTGCTCCTTTTCCATATAGATCAATATAATGGAGCTTGGTGACAGCTAGGTTTCATTTTGCCCACATCAAAGAAAAATGCAGTGCAAATAATATTACATCTATTTAATGGAGATAAGCCACGATACTAACTCTAGGAACGTAGTGAACTTAAGATAGAAGCTGTGTCTCTTCCCTCTGGAACAGCTTCTGGAAGCATTTCTGCTCCCATTCATAGTAGAAGCATGTTCATACAAAGGAAAATACTGCTAGTTTCTACAAAGCTCTTTGGAGTTTAGTGAGTACACCATGTCCCCACAGGGTGAGGTCATTTCTACCCTTATTTTCCTTGGACTCATCCTACACCTTTCTTTATTTGGATCAGGGAGCTAAAAGCTCCTCTAAAGGCACCATTCAAATACATGGTAGCAGAGAAGAGAGTGTTCAGTCAAAGCCTGCTACCTTTTTTGCTTAAAAAGGACACATTAAGAAGTAGTCTACATACCCTTCCCATTAGCTTATGGGGAAAATCCTTCCCCAGTTTCAGTGTCTGATTTTTTTATTAAACATTGCTGAGATAATGACCAGCAGCCAGTGCTTGCTTAGATGCCAGCGTAACAAAGTTTGCACCCAACACAGTGGAAGGTAAGCATGCATCTCGCTTTCCCAGAGCAGAGCTGACATCACCAGACAAGCTATTGCACAAACAAGGAGTTCATGTTCGTTATAAACTCAATTAGAAACGCAGAGTATGGAAGATATTGCCAAGTAAGACAGAGAACATAAGGAAAAATAACTGATCCCATACTTTGAATCAGGGAGCATAAAAACACCAACATGCTTTAGAACAGCGTTTTTACACGGTACATTTTAAAAGTGTTTTGCATAGATGAATGATAATATTAAGGATGATCCTGTGCTCTTGTTGAATATCTTGGTATTGTACATGGTTCAGAGAGGTTTTACACAAACAGTATGTAAAAGCAGAGGTGAAAAAAGATCATGACAATTACAGGTGGAAGGAAAAGTCCCCATCCAATGCAAGGCAGTACAGCCCAGCAGAAGATACTTATGTGTTGATGAACAAAAAGTGAACATTTTCTCCATTTTACAAACTGTGAAACACCAATACAGAGATAAGGTATCTTGCCCAAAGTCACCCAAGGGGTAAGTGGCAGATTTTGGTATAAAGCCTTGGTCTCCTGGGTCCCAGTCCCAGGCCTCACGCACTGGACTGTGCTGCATCTTTAGTAGTAAAACCAACACCCCTTTCCCCCTCAGTCTGACAGCTAGAAGGACTGGCTTTGGACCAGTGCTGGAGACTAGACAAAAGAACATTTCACCTGCTGATCATCGTGTTTCCCTTGAGACTCTTTTCCCACCTCTGTTCTCTTTCAGCTTTTACTCTCTATCATCCTCCCTACAGAGGTACAGGTGCCCATCAAGATATGACATTGGTCAAAAGAGAGGGAGAGAATTCAAGAAAAAAGGCTTGCACATGATGGTCAATCAGAAGGTTTATATCTCAGAGTCCCGCTAGCTTTAACCCCCTCAACCCATATGGAAGAAGGAGGACACTGAAAGCTGAATCATAAGCACTTTCGGTCTTCTCTTATAAGCACTTTTAGGATTTCTTCTCATTTATCAGTGCCAAACTGTGATAGTGCAGGAACAAGTCTAAATAGCATCACAATTGCAATATCACTCTTGTGCCTCATTCCAACTTGAGTTTAAGCATTACTTCTTGGCCATTTCTTTTTCTGCACTGTCCCCTCTTCTGGTCACTTGCCTGGAGTTTTTAAGAAGTCTTGAATGATCCTTCTGCGGTGATATGGCATCAACTGACAGCAGGATGTTCGCAGTGGGGCAGAGTGATGCAGTTCAGTCCCATGATCACAGGGCCATGGCATGAGGAATACACTGCAGGATTATATTGCTTAGGAGGAAGCTGCAGCACGACAATCCTACAACATGGCATCAGTTCAAACAAGGCTAGTCCCTCAGGACTCAGCTCGCTCTCACTTATTCCCAAAGCACCACTCACATTGGCCAGTTTGGGATTGTAACTCTTCCCTGGGAAATGGTGCAACATCATCAGCTCGATATAGATTCTGCTCTGAGGGATGCCCAGAGCAGTGTTGATGAAGGTGTGGATGGGTACGCAAAGAGCCCAGAGTAATGCACCAGTATTACAGATTCAATCTTCAGCCTTGTAAAGTTCCAAAACTCCCAGATGAGGATTTTAAAAGTTATACTGACAAGTTCCTCCTGCCTACAAGTCCCATTTTCAAGGGAACATTGATTTTACACCCTGAGGGCATGCTGAAAGATTCAGAAGGATGGGGTTTATACCACCACAACGATACCGTATAGAAACAACTATGAATGCTTGCTGTATCCTTTTGAAAAAGATGAATATATATTTGAATATGAAAGTAAAATAGGCAGAGATGCCTTCAAACATCTGAAGGAAAGCTCCCATAAATAAAACAACACATGCGCAGAGAACACATTCATATTCTCTTTGTCTTCTCCTCAGCTTTTAGCCCCCAGACAAACGTAAAACTCAGAAGTAACGTGAGGCGAGTAAGAATTATTCTGCTGTGTAGATGCCATGGAACAAATGCATGTCGGCTAAGCTTTCAACGGTGTAAGGGGCATTTGTGATCCAGCACATGAAAGGGAAGACCCATAGGTATTCCTACAAACAAAGGGGAAGACAGGTTTGGTTTGATTTTACAAGTTCTAGGCTGGTTAAATGTACCAGGCTCAAAATTCTGTAGACTGTTGGCTCAGGGAGGCCTTTTTAAAACTAACTCCTCCCCAGCCCCTCTCAGTTATGCTTTGTTTCTCTGCGGAAGGTCAGGTTCTGGAGACCAGGAGGATGGAAAGCAGCAATGTGCTTTGGCCATAGACAGCCTGAGTTGTTTTCTTCCCTGCTCCCCTTAAGTAACAAATTGTAATGAGGCTTGCAGATGGAGGTGTAAAGTGCTGCCAGACCTCCTTGTCCCCGCCACCACCCTGCTCAAAAATCTCCCTAGCATGTGTTGTAATCATTCACTCAGGAGTGCTGTAAAAAAGGCCTTACAGGAAACAACTGACATTTTTTCCTTTGCTATTCATGCCATTTTCTATTAAAGACAATAAAGACTTCTAGCACTAGATTAAACTCATTTGCAACAATAAGCTACTCTTGCTCTATGAGCCAGTGGGAGCTCAGCGGGGGAACCTGGCTTAACTGACTTCGACTGGAAAAAAGAAGATGCCTGGAGGCTGCTCTGACAAAACCAATGCCATGCTGAGGCTTGCGTGCCTTGCTGGGAGAAGCTTTCCCAGGTGTTGGGAGCCCACAGCACTTCCAGCATGTAATCAAATCACTTTGGCACAGTTCTTGCTTTCTGATCCCTTCACTTTATGAGAAGACACCTCCCAGAGCACTGATGACAATAACACAGCTTACTGACTTCTTGTACTCAGCATACACTGAGCAGCAGGTCACTTCCCAAAACTGCTGGGGCTTTGGAAGAGTTTAAAAACAAAAAGATACTCTAAGGAGGCTATTTCTTTCAAGTGATGCGTAGGATCCATCTATGCAGGCGAACCCTCCTCGTGCGTCATCCAGGGGTTTTTAGCAATTGTGTTAACAGGA